ATTGTCTTCCCCTGTCTGCCTACCCTTGGCAACACCTTGCCTTGTGTTTTCTTGCATTTTTCAGCGTCCCTGGCTTAGGGCCCAGTGCCCAGCGCTTAGTAGGTGCTTTCTTGATAGAACTAACCCCATTCAAGAAAATGCCTAAAACCATTTGCTTTCTTGATAGAACTAACCCCATTCAAGAAAATGCCTAAAACCATTTTGCTCTAACACAGGTGTGTGTCCAGCAGAAGACAGTTCAAAACACATTTGATTTTAAACTTCACTTCCTTCTTCCTTAGCACCTCTCTTTTTGCCGGCTCTGCTGTGCTAATAACATCAGGAGTAATCATCTTTTTCAACTTAGAGAATGTTTCTCCAGTTACTCTCTCTGCTGAGCCTCCAAACAGCCTTCAAAGCAGTGACTCTCCACTGTCCAGAGGTGATCAGGAGAACGGGCTTGGCCAGCACTGATTGACAGCCCAGCAGGTAATTCCCCCCGAAGTTCCTGGACCCCTATTCCCCTGCCTGCCCTGGACAGGGACAATGAGGTCCTCCTTTCCCAGACAGGCTCACAAGGCAAGGTCACCGGCCCGACATCGACCAGAGAGGCTTGGACGCTGGACTTTTATACCCCCTCTTAAGGCTCCTGATCCCTTCAGGGAAACGTTGGGTAACATGAGGGCTGACCAGCCTGAGCCGGAGCCCGGCTACCCCCAGCAGAGGAGCCCAGGGTTTTGACCAGAGACACTTCCCATTCAATTCCAGGGCCCACTGTGTCAGGGCAGGAGGGGGATGGGCTGCATTCTCAGTGACCACCGAAATAGCTGCACCCCGCCTCCCCCCCTCGCCCCGCAGATGGGGAGCCCCATCCTTCTAGCAGCTGTGTGAGGAACTCTGAAAGAGACCTGCTCACCAGGGAGAGGTAGGGACAGCCTCTGGCATCCTTGGAAAGCAGTTTCACAGGTTGAGCCCATGGGCCTGGAGTCTTTTTCCTTTAACTGCCACCTTCTGGAGGCCTGGCCATTGCCAACCTGATCCCAGAGCCCAGGATTTCTGCCCTCTGGTTTCTGGCAGCTGAGTGAAGGAGTGGCTATTCTAGCCCGAGCTTGGACTTGACCTCTCCTTCTCCTCTTCCACCTCAACTGCCTCTTACTCCTCATTCTGGTCACTCAGTTATTGGAGTCTCCTTTCACCATAGTTGGTGGGCACTGGAGACCCGCGGGTGAATGACGACCATTCCCCTGGGCAGGAGGAGCTCACGCTCCCATGAGGGAGATGCACACATGTCCACACCTACACACTGTGGCCTACTGCAGTCTGTTGTGGGTTGTTGAGGGGGGTGTTCCAAGGGCTGCCAGGGGACTCCTGGCCCAGTCAGGGAGCTCAGGGAGGCTTCCCTGGAAGGCTTCCTGGTAGAGGTGGTACCTGCCCAGGCTGGATTTTAGGATTAGGAGGGATCTGTCACAGAAAGAGGTTTTTGGACAGAGGATTTCCCAATAGCATAAGCTCGATGGAGTAAGGATCTTTGGTTTATTACCCAGTACCTGGAACAATGCCTGGTATAGGAGATGCTCAATAGACAGGTACTAGAAGAAAGAAGAAAAGGGAGGGAGGGATAGAGAAAGAGAAGAGGAAAGAATCAATGAGCCTGGGGTGGATATACGAGCAATGACTGGGTGTATTCTGAGGACCAAAAGTACAGTAGTTCCTCGAGGCTGTGGTTTAGGTGGGTGGGGCTGGGAAACTGGCCTTATCTCATCCCTTTGTTGCTGGTGTCCCTTTCTTATCTCCACCCTGGGTCCGGAGCTCCTTCGGGGATGAGACCATTTTTTCCTTTCGTGGTTCCCCAACCCCTGGTACATACACTGAGTTGATATACACACAGGTTCTGAACCTGTGCTGGGTGGTGGAGACACGCAGATGACTCAGACTTCGTTCCTCTCCCTGCCAGCTCTGGCGGAGGAGACAGACAGTAAACAACGGCTACAACAAGAGGCAGAATTGACCACAGAGAGCCACTACGGAGGTTCAAACAAAATGAGACCAAGCAGGGGGATGGATGAGTTTTGCTTTGGGATTGAAAAGCAAAAAGGTCTTAGAGGAGAAGATGGCATTGAACAGCATGTTAGCCCTAAGCAATGGTCCAAGGGGGATGGTGGGGTGGGAATAATTCCCAGTAAAGACGGCAGGCCCAAAGATGTGGTCTGGCGAAGGTGGAGCCGGGGGATTCCGTGGGGAAAGGGAGGCTGGGGCTTGGGATGCTGTTTGTTTTTAGGGGTTTGGACTGAATCCTCTTGGATCACCATGTGCACCCTTGGTTGGGGTTGCTGAGTGGTCCCACTTCCCAGGAGCCTGTCAACTCTCTTCTCTCCAGCAGGCTGGTGGCTCCCTGAGTCCTTTCTTTTAGCCTCACCAGGAACCTACTGACACGGGGCCTCATTCTGGGTCAGGCCCTAGCAAAGGGCAGACCACAAAGACAGAGTGCCTGGCACAGGTTTCCTGAATGCCACTCCTCTCCTCTTGCCACATTTGCTCCCCAAGAAGGTGCCAGTCCTTTTTTCGGTGGGGGTGTGGGGGTGTGGGGATGTGGGAAGAAAACTGTAGAAGGGAAATCAGCATCACAGAACATCAGATTCTCAAGAGATATTAAAGATCTTCTAACCCTCCTTTCCCATTTGACAGATGAGGAAAATGATGTCCGGACAGGTTTGTGCTGCAGGCCTGGTGCTAATAGGGCATAACCAACTTGGTAGATAGACACTGCCATAGTCCAGCCAGAGAAGGGCAGTGTTTTCCTTTAGGCAGGACCTGACCGATACTCATGATCCTCATAATCTGTGGGCCTTGCAGACCCAAGATGAGTCAGGCTTCTTGTGAGTCAGTCTGTTGACAAGCCATCCTTGGCCATTCCTAGCCCATCAAAAATAGAAGTCCAGGGGAAGGGGATGAACAGGCCAATTTAACTAGTGTGGGCTCTAAGGTACCTTAAGGTAGCCCTATTAAATTAAACCGCCTAGGGGAAAAAATAACTGTAATTATTTTCTTCACCTCCCTCCCAACCTCCATGCTGCCCTCATTCACAAAACAACCTTTAAACTAGGGGCTTCCATACAGACAACCATAGACTAGGGTTCGGTATTTCCCCTTTTCGGTACCCTTCCCAGGCGATCTCCAGGTCCCAGCAGAGAACAGAGTGCGTCCAGAGGCATCCGTAGGGCCTGGCTGTATTCTAATTTAGGGAGGCTGTTACACTGAGTAGAACATTATTCCAAAAATGCACCGAGTCTCCTTCCTGAACCAATGCAGATCGGTTTGCTGCGGGGCATTTCTTTTAAAAGCCCCTTTTCTCTTTTCAACAGATCAAAATAAGCAAACTTTAATGGTAGGGAATTATTCTTTATTTTGTTGAAATTTAGTTCTGAGTTTTCCTACTTGAAACGTGTTTTCCCCAGGACACTGACCTATCCTTTAATTGTTTGGTGCGAGGCATGTTAGGGGGAGGGGCGTTACTTGTTTATTGGAACAGCGCAGTTAAAAAAAAAAAAAATCAACCTAGGCTAACAGTTTCAAGGCTCCCCTAAAGATGTATCCAAACAGGCAGCCAATCAGCGCTTACACAGCTTTTTCTGCTTGACTCTTTTAAAGAGACAGTGCCGACAGTGTTTTATCACATTTAAAGAGAACCGCGCTCTGAAAGCAGTCTGAAAATGGGGGAGTCTTCCCCTATTTCGCTGGTTTCTGGTCTAAGAAGGGAGTCAAAGTGTCTACTTGGGGTTCTCAGCGTGGACAGAGAGGAGTCCGCGGCAAATAGCTGGGTCACTCTGCCAGCACCCCCCCCATTTCCCATTGTACACCTGGGTCACTGACAATGGAAGCTTCCCCTCCCCCCAAGCCTGACTCTCATCCCCCCCCTCCCGAATTTAGCTCCATTTATTTGAAGTTTGCAGATTTCTGTGGCGCGCATTTCCACGTTGCAGGGCACCCAGGTGACGCCCCGGTACCCGGGACGGCACCGTCTCCTGCGGAGAAGCCAAGGGGCTAACTTGCCAGGGCTGCCAGACCTTAGAAATTTGGGAGCAATCACTCTCCCTTTTCTTAGCACAAGTCCCCCGTCTCCTCCCCCAGGCTCCCCAAAGCACGCCGAGGACCTCTATCGCGCGGCTCCACTTTGGGGCTTTCCAAAGTATTTTAATGATGTAGTAAAGGAGCAGCCGCGCGCCTCGGCGCCGGCTCGGGCCGCCCAGCTCGCAGCGTGGAGCCCCGGGCCCGGCACTCGGAAGGCGGACAGGGCAGGAGGGAGGGCCAGGGGCGGGGCGGCGGGGAGCGGACTGGAGTCTGAGGAGGGGGTCGGGGTGTGAGCCCAGGGGGGGAGGGCCGGCGAGGGAGAGGGGGAGATAAGGGCTGGGCCGGCGCGAGCCGGGCAAGGGGGGTGGTGGAAAGGAGGCAAGGGGCAGATAAGTGGAGGGACGTGGCGGGAGGGAGCCGGTGGCGCTCCGTTTAGGGGTCCGCGCCCCCTCCCCTCCGACGCTGCCGCAGCGCCCCCCACCCCCCAATGGTCCCCGCCGCGGAGAGCGCCGGGCAAACCCCCCTCGTCGCCGGGGCCAAGAGACGAGAGCTCCCCCGGCCCGATTCGAGTCCCCTCCCCACAGCCACAGAAAGGAGAGGCGCGCGCCCCCGGGCACCCCCGGCTCAGCCGCAGGAGCAGGGGCAGCGGCTCGGTGGAGGTGGCCGCAGCAGGGACTGCCGCGGCCGGGCGCTGACAGGGCGTCCCTCCCGGGCCGCCGGGCCCGCCCCCGCGCGCCGATTGGCCGAAGCTGCCATCAATCGCAGGACGTTGACGCCCGCCTCGCTTCCTCGCCCGGGTAGCCACGTTCGGTTGAGCTCCAAGTAGACCAGCGGCAGCGGCGGCGGCAGCGGTGCCGGAGGCGCAGAGGGCGGCGCAGGCGGAGCAGGGCGGGCGGGCGCGCGAGCGAGCCAGCGGGCGGCCGGGCCGGCGGGCGAGTGGCGGCGGCGGCGGCAGCGGCACCCCAGGCCGAGCCGGCGCGGGAGGAGTTCCAGGGCGATGGGGCCGCGGCCGGGGCTGACGCTTTGACAGCTGGAAAGAGCGCCGAGCCAGCGCCTGGGGGGGTGGGAGGGGAGCGCGGCGAGGAGAGCGCGAGCGGGCGAGCGAGCGAGGCCGGGGAGGGGGCCGGGAGCGAGGGGGCAGCTCGGGAGCAAGCCGGAGCGGTAGCGGCGGCGGCGGCGGCGGCGGCGAGGCTCGGCGCCCTCTTCTCCGCAAACCATGTTTGCCAAAGGCAAAGGCTCGGCGGTGCCCTCGGACGGGCAGGCTCGGGAAAAGTAAGCCCTATTTTCCAAGTGGCGGCCGCGCCGTCGCCGGGCTGCGGGAGGGCGGTGGGAGGCAGGTGGGCGGGCGGGGGCTGCTGCGCCCTGGGCCCGGCGCCGCCTGCCTGGCCCCTTCCCCGAGGCCGCGGCGGGCGACGTGGGAGAGCCCATTGTTGGGAGGCGGCGGAGGCCGGGGCGTCGGGGGGCGCCGGCGGCGGAGGGGGCACCTGGTGGCCGCGGGGCGTGCCGGGCGCGGGGGCCCAGCGGAGAGGGGTGGGCGAGGTCCCGAGTGCCAGCCTGGGCGCTCGCCGCGGCGGCCGCACTTTGCCCCGCGGGCGCGGGCAGGGGGCGCGTGGCTCCCGCAGCCCCGAAGGCTCCTTTTGTCCGCCCGCGGCGTGAGGAGTGCGTGCCGGGGGCTTTGTTCGGCGGGGAGCGCTCTCCCTTGCCTGCCCCTCGGCCTCGCCGCCCGCCCCGCGCTCTCCCGGGCGCCGCGCTGGGCAGGGACGGCGGCGCCGGCTTGGCCCTGGGCTTGGGGGACAGTTGCTTGGTGGGGAGCTGATGAGGATGGCGCTTTGCTGCCCTCTCCAGAGCGCGCTGAGCACCCCGGAGTCCAGGACTGAGTCTCCCCGGACCCTCAGAGCTGGAGAGAGAGTGGCAATGAGTGGGTCGGGAAAAGGAGGGAGGCTCTGGGGTCGGGAGGCTGACAGAGTTTGAGAGACCTAGGTGGATTTGGCCCCGATGCCAGTTGGAAGTTCAAGTTTGGGGGGCTGCTCTCTAGCTCTCATGGCTCGAGGCAGCGCGTCCCCTGGTACCCACCCCCCTGACTGCTTCCACCCGCGGCCCGAGACAGGGTCGAGCTAGCTGCTCACCTCTGGTTGGGGCCACAATGGGACAGCGCAGGCAGGGCTGGAAGCCGGCTGGCAAGGTCCAGAAGCGAGCGCCCCATGTGATCTGACGCCTTCCCTCTCTTTCTGTGCCCCTTGCCCACTTTCCAGGTTAGCTTTATACGTCTACGAATATTTACTGCACGTAGGAGCACAGAAATCTGCACAGACCTTCTTGTCGGAGGTGAGTGGAACTCCCCCCCCCACCCCCAACCCCCATCATCCAATTTTTTGACACCCCCTCTTCCCCACTATTCTTAGAGCCTTTGTTTTCAGGAGCAGCCACTGTGGCCACCATTTTGAATTTTTATCACCTTTTGGCATTTATTGTTAGTTGGTCTTCACAGCCTTTTGGCTCCGGGAAGCCCCCAGCCCACCCTTCCTCTCTGCTCCTCTAAGCGGTCTCTGCTCTCTGCTTTCCAGATTCGATGGGAAAAAAACATCACGTTGGGAGAACCGCCTGGGTTTTTGCACTCGTGGTGGTGGTAAGTTTGTGTGATAGTTTTGCGTGTGTGTTTGTTTTGTTCTGAGACCTGGGTCTGGGTGAACAAAGACAGGCAGCCTGGAGCAGAAGCCCACGCCTTAGCTTTTGGGCCTGGCGCAGACCAGGGCGCCTCTGGACACTCAGACTAGGGCTGGTGAAGGAGGAAAAGGACAGCAGAGGCTGGTTCCCAAAGTTTTTGCTTCTCTTTCCCCTTCTATTGAGAAGCTCCTAAATAATGTCTAGTGTTTATATAGAAACTCCTTTACTTTCCTATCTCTCTCTGGGGCACCAGGCGGGGGTCTTGAAAAAACCTTGGAGGATTTTTGTCAATTCTGCATGCTGCTTTAATTAGAGGGAGTGGGGGTGGGGTAGGGTGGGGAGGATACCAGGTCTGTTTTACAGCTGGCCTGTCCCTTCCTTTTTCTTCTGTGAGCTCCAAACCTTTAGAGAGCAGCTCTACTGGGGCCTTTCCCAGGCACCCTGAGAAAAAAAGCAAGAAGGGGCTGCCACTTCCTTTAAAGATACTGATTCAGACTGACTGGACTTTCCTCTCCTCTGTGGGCCCTCCCCCCAACCCCCAGCATCCCTGAAACCACAAAGTTTCATTTTACCAAGAACCTTAACTGGTTGGTGTTGACCTCACAGAGTGCTTGTAGTCGGTAGTTGGTAGTTGGTGGCTTTCCCTTATTTGTGACCCTTTCCCTCCTTTATCTGGGTCCTGCTGTGGTGGGACCTCTGTAGGTCCCGGTCTCTCCTTGTAGGTTTGCCTAAGAACAGGGGCTTAAGGTCAGCAGGAATGAGTCGCTGTGAGTATAAGACCTGGCTGTTTCGCGGACCGATTGGTGGAGTCTCTGGCGTCCTTTTGAAAAGGACAAGAAAGCAGAATGGCTTTTGATATTTTGGTGGAGTTCAGAAGGATCGGAGTGCCACGTCTTGGGATCTTAGCTGTGCGTTTTTACCTGACCACCAGTTCAGGTTACTGTTCCGAGTCTCTTTGAAATACGGGGGGGATGAAGTGTCTGTTCTAACTTGCACGGAGAAAATGAGTTTTTAATTATTTCTGCCAGACTTGGAACTGCGGTGCTGTGGCCTGAGGATTCTACCTGTAGGAGTGGGTGATAGGTTTTCTGGGGTGGTTTGGGAGAGCAGTATGTGAGCGGGGTGGGTGCGTCTGACCATCATGGATTTTTGCAGAAGCTCGGGTTTAGGAGTAAAAGTTACTGAGAAGGGGGCCAGGGAGTTTGTAGTGTTCGAAATCCCTTAGCGTGTGGAGAAGTTAATCCAATGTGTGCTGCTTCAGGGGACAGAAAGGAATGTTTTTGAGCCTCTATCTGCAGCTACTAGGAGCCTCCTATTTTCTCGTTCTGTCTGATTTTCTTGTTGTGTCCTTAAGGGCCCCCCCGCAGCCCCCGCCCCAATCTTCTCCAGCCTTGTCTCAGGCCCAGGAACGGGGAGAGGCTGTTGTGCTGGACCTGAGCAGTGGTGGCTCTGAGCGGCTCTGTCTGTGGTCTTGTTAGAAGTTGCTTCCGTGCCATTCGACACTGAGCAAATGACAGCTGAGACTCTCCAGGTGGGAGGAAGCATAGGCGCTGATTCGGAGTTGATCAGGCCCTGGAATTTGGACACCTTGAGCGAGATGGCTTGTCTGATGATCTGCTGAGTCGGTTGTTGCTGATGGGGACAGGAGCTCTAGACTTGGAGTCAGATTTATGCCCAGGTGCCCGTTTCCTTCGAGTGGTTCCCAGCCCTGGGCCTTGGGCTTCTGACACGAAGAGGCTTTCTAAGGCACCGTATTAATACCAGTGACCACCCCATTTGTGTAAGCTTTTACTGGTTGACAGATGACTTGTGGGTCTGTTCTCATGTAATACAAAGTGTTAGAGTGACTATACCAAATCTTGGAGGTGCGGGATGAGGCAGAGATATCTAGCCCTGCCCCTTGCCCCCTACCCCCACAGCCCTTTGCTGGATTGGTGGACAGGTGCCTCTATGAGGAGGGCTATTTCAACATGAAAGGACAAGATACTGGGTTGTTGACAGCCTCTCCTTCGGCTAATTGATATGCATTCTTTAGGGGTGTGGGGGGGATGGTTCTTGCATAAGAATTCCTTGGGGGAGGGCCTGGATGGGACTGAGGGGTGAGATGGGAGGGATGGGGGTGTGGGCTCTGGGCTCTGGGATTAAGAACCTGTAGGTTTCCTTTATTGCTAGTCACCCAGATGGCTCCGCCTATGAATCATAGTCCTGACTTTGACAGTTTAACCTTTTTGTGAAATGTAGCCATTTTGGTTGGGGGGATGGTGGTGAAAGGAGCACAGATGAAGGAGGCCCGGATTCTTACCCAGATTCCTACCTGTCCTATCTGGACCCCCATGAATGGGTTGTACTAATCCATCCAAACTTCAGTTGCCTCTTGAATAAAGTAGGGTTAGTTACCTCCCCTAAAGCACCACGGTAGTACAAGCAAGGTCACGGTAGTACAAGCAAGGTCACGGGTGGGAGGCATCTAGCGCACAGTAGGTGCCTCATGGCCAAGAACTAATACTCTTAGGGCAAAGGTCTGGCTTGCCAGAAGACGTTGGTCCGTTGTGTTTTCAAGCCTGAGTTTAAAGGCTGGAAATGTGGGATTAGAGCCTTCGGGAGACCCCGTGCTGTTAGCCCCGTACGTTGTGCACTTGTCGCGGATACGCGAGTGATAATTAGTAACCCGATCTTATTTTATTTTTCAACTTGCAGCGTATTCTGGGACCTTTACTGTGCAGCTCCTGAAAGGCGAGACACTTGTGAACATTCGAGTGAAGCAAAAGCCTTTCATGATTATGTGAGTAACAAATTTTTAATCCTGGCAATAATTACAGGGTTGGATAGCTCTAACTTCTTCAGTACCAGAAGCAAATACACAGCCATTTGGCAGTGGTCTTTGTTTTCTCCTGGCCTTTTTGTTCTGCCCACCTCCCTGCTGCCCTTGCCCCGTTCTAACTTGGGGAACCGTGTTTCGTAATGTGGTAATTATGCAAAAGAGTATAGATACCTATCTGGAGGATAAAATGGTGGTGTTAGGGCTCAGCTGTAAGAGGCTGATGGTTCAGAGCGGACAGTTAGCTAGCTGGGAAGGGACTGAGTCTCCTTGGTGTTGGTTTAATTAAAAAATTCGCCGTGGCCACTGCCACAAAACAAAAACAAATACGAAACTTGTGTTTCAGAGCTGAAGGGGTGGTTGAGTGAGAGCTTGGTGAAATGGACTCCTTCCTTACTTCCCAGGGAGCAGTCTTTTCCAAATTATGTTTTGAGGTGTGTGTGTACAAGTGTGTGTGTGCGCACGTGTGTATTTGTTGGAGGGCTCAGGTTGTGCCCACTGAGACCATGTGTACTTTGAAGTCCTTGGCTGGTCCATAATCTTGTGTCCAAAATGTTCTTGTGAAGATAGTTAATTTCATCACATCATAGTGCTTGCTACCCTGTTATTCATCCTCTACCTGGATGAGTTTCTTAAGATTTATGAAATGCTTATAAGAGCGACGTCTGCCGCATATCCATCTCCCATGGCAGTCCCCCTCAAAAAAAAATTAGACTCCAAACATGGGTTGGAGTCAGAATTTATGATCAGATGAAACACGATCTGGGGGAGGTGGGAGATGGAAGGGGAAGCGTCTGCAGTTCTTCCCAGCCTCCTTCCAGGCTTCATCTCCTGGTGGCCTTGTAGATGGGTGCCTGTGTGTGTGTGCGTGTGTGTGTGTAAGAGTGTGAGTGTGCGTGTGCACATGCACACAAGAGGTGGTTTATTTGGTCTTGCACTTTTTCATGAGGTCGGTAGGAATGGTCTCCAAGTTCTAGGGCATGGAAGTTGGTTTCTTGAATGTTGTCAGGGCCCACCCACTTGGCCAGGCCATGTGTGTCCCCTGTGTGCAGAGGGGGGACACACCTAGGACACCAGAAACTGGCCTAGGACACCAGAACCCATCTGGTTGATTTTCACAAGTGCCATTACCATGAATGTCTTTATGGTGACAATTGCTTCTATAGTAGACTGAGTTAGCTGCTCTGCAGGAGGCTCACTGGTTTTGAGACTACTCAATGGGATGAAATCTTGTTATGACTGAAAAGTCAATGCCCTTGGACCAGACCGCTGAGGAAGTGGACCTGTTCTTGTGCCCTCTCCAAGGTTGAGAAAGAAGCTGGCGCACGGTACTTATGGTCTGGTAAACTTTTAGTAGTAAGAGGTGAGGTGACTGGTTCTCTTGTGATGTGGTTCTTCTGGGAAAATCCGTGGTGATGATCATAGGGTTTCCTGAGTTGGAGGTTGGGGGAGGAGGCCAGAAGGAACATTAAGCATGTAAAAATAGTTGGTGAATTTGACCTTTCTACCTAGTAAAAAAAAAAATCTTCCTTTTTTTTAAAAAACGGTTAGAGAGTGCATTTCTATGTGGTCAGTCTTTGCTGTGCAAATGGTTTTGTTTTAGAGTTGTGGGGAATAGGTGGACATGCCTATTTCAGGTAAATCTCTTGATAGAGGATGTCTTTGCTATCTTCTGCAAGTCGTTGAAGAAGTTAAAAATTTTTAACTAAGTTTGGTGCTCTAGCAAATGATGTAAGGTGGTGGCAATTTGTGGTTTGGTCTGCATCTTGAAACAGTACGGGTGGCAGTGAAAGCTCACATGGGTTTGCTTTCCATACTTTATTAAGGAATGGTGGCAGAATTACATGGCGAGTTGAAATCAGCATAGATGTGTAGAAGATGCTACTAAGTGTTGAAGTCCCACTAATTGAGGCCCAGGATTCACAGATTTGGGGGAATAAAACCCTTTTCCCTAGATTGGAATCCGTTTGGTGTCATTGGCTTGAGAGTGAGGTCGCGTGGGGGGAGGGATGGAGTAATGAATGGCAACAGGGAGGGAACATCTGTATGGTGGAGGAGTTGCGGGGTGACATTGGATTGCCGGGGTGACAGAGGACCAACTGGTAAATTAAGAGAAATTTAAGACAGTTAAGAAAAGGAACGGTCTCTTCTCTTTGGCCTTCTTAGATCTTCGTGTCTTCTGTCCATTCCCATGGCTACCATCTGGTTAGCCCTCATTCCTTCTTGCTAGAATTGTTGTCTCTTTCCAGGCTCCCTTCCTCTTGTCTGGAATGCGTGCCTCTCTTATCCATTCAAATCGTATCCATCTCTGAGCTTCTTTGTGGGCTTCTGTGATAGTTTCCAGCACACTCTGATCACCCCACCTCATTATCTGTGGAGATCATCTATCTGTGTACATGGAGCCTTTGTTGGCAGCTCTCCACGTACTGGGCTCCCGTGCTGACCACTTTGGTTTAGTCTCTTGTTCCCAGCTGCCAGTGGCCTGGTGAGAGGGGGATTGTTAACTCCCATTTCGCAGATGAGGAAGCTGAGGCCCAGAGAGGTGAATCCGCAGCTAAGGGGTAGAATGAAGATCCAAACACAGTCCGTCAGCGACTCCAGGGTCGCGGCCCCTGACTGCCGAGGCTCAGCCCTGCCTGTCCGTGGCGAGTGTCGTTCGTTCGCACCTGTTCCCACTACTTTCTCTTCTAGGCTTGTCTTTCCAACCGCAGCTTATTAATTTTTTCCCTGCCAGAGGCTGTTCATCCGTCTACAGAGTTGTCCGTCTCTGTAGCTCCCACAGTACCTTGCACACAGTGCGTGCGTGCTCTTTGAATGAAGGGGTTGAGGACCTACGGGTAAGGAAAAATAGGTCATTTGGGCTCACTGACGAGCCTAGCCTAGAACAGCCATTGGCGTGTTGGAAGATGTTCCTTTGGTGCTTTCACTTTTGCTGGGTGGTCTTGAGCGCGGCCTTCTAACACTGGTTAACTAGTTACCTTATATCCTGTCGGTAAGAGTGGGCAGTAACTGGCCTTCCCTCTGCCGGTGAGGTGAGTCAGAGATTCTTCTGGTTTGTGGGGAGTCTGCGCAGCCCAGGTGCCACCCAGACTTGGTGTGGGGGTAGTGAGTATCAAGTTCTTGCAGGGCAGGGGTCAGGGAGGGGTTGCCCGGTTGCTGCTGTGGGGCTGGAACGGTCTTGGGAAAGGACCTCAACTGGGAAGATCCTGGTCTCCGCTCTCACAGGGAAAAGATTTTGTGTTCCTGACAAATTGTCTCCCCTTCTGACAGCGGGGTCAGGGGTCAGGAGATCGTAAAGGTTCCTCTCAGGTCAAAGCCAGGCTGTAGGGCCTGGAATGAGCCAGGTGACTCAGTGGGGGAGGGGCTTAAATTTTCTTTGAATTGCTGAGTTTTCATTTGAGTCAGTCTGTCCTCTCTCCCGCCCTCCCCCAGCCCCCAAACACCTGGAACGTTGTTTGTAAGCCCTGATGTTGACCACGTGTAACGTGGAGTGTTTGGGCATTCGGTATGAGAATAGACTTTTCTGAGAAATCAGTTTATCCTAAGTCAGAAGAGCCCCGAGGCCCTGGGAGGAGGCTCATGGGGACCCTGCTGTGGTTTTGGGGGGCTCTTCTACTCTCACCAGAGCAGCATTCCTCAGGGCATTGGTAAAAGGCCTTGGGGTACCATTGGGTTCTCTTAAACCCTGTTGTTTGGGGCCTGGCCTTTTGTGGGGTGGACACCTGTTCCACCTGTGTCTCTCACCTTGGCCAACTTCTCCGCTTGCTTTTCTCCCCCGGCCTGTGTGGCTGGTAGAAAGAAGTATTTTCGGTGCCTTCTTGGCTGCCAGCGGCCCTTTCCCTCGTGTGGTAGCTAAATGTGTGTTTTCTTCTTGGTGGAGAAATGAGTGGAGTAGGTGTGCCCTGGCCGTGCGGCCTCTGAGCTGGAGGTGCTGGAGAGCCGTGGGGGCTCCTTGCGCGGCTCATGTCACGGCAGTCGTTATAAAGCCTTTCAGGGCGGGCTTGTAGTTGGGCCTCATGGTGGGTCAGGGGTTATTCTTGAGTTTCAGCCCCATTTCACAGATGAGGAAACCGAGGCCTGGAGTTCAGATAGTCTGTGCAGGGGCATGTAGCGGGGGTGGGGATGGGGCGGGTGGCAGAGCCGGGACCAAATATGGATTTTTCAGGTTTTTCCTCTCAACTTTTGACAGCCCTCATTTGTGAACAGAATTCCTGCTGAATGGAGGGGAGGTGCTGGCACTTGACCCCAAGTGTGCCCGTGTATCGTCACTGAGGAAATGAATTGGGCAATGAGTCAGTCTGAAGCCCCTGAGAGGTGAACGGCGGCATCACTGGCAGAGGGGGACAGGAGCTCGGGAAGGGAGTTTGTTCTGGTACAGTGGCTCTCTTGGCAGGGAAAATGTGATAAAAGCTCTGGCCTTTCCTTCCAGAAAATACCCGTGTCCCCACAAAGGAGACTTTGTACCAGATTTCGGAAGGTGTGCAGACTGCTGCCCCTGACCCTGGACCCTCTGTGATTCCCAGGGAAGAACTTGGGGCGGATACTAGACATGGAATCCCATGACCTTGACGAGCGTGGAGCCTCAGTTTCTCCGCTCTGAAGACCTGAGGTCCCTTTCTGCTTTGCCATTGTGAGCCCCTGACAAGGAGGGCCTGGCTCCCCGCCCGCCACCGTGCCCCCAGCTGTGAGCCTGTGTCTCCAGGCTGCCAGGCGGGATTAGGCAAGTGCCCCAAAGGCCTAGGCGTGGACGTGAGCTGAGGTATTTGTGGCTCTGTGGCAGGGGTCCAGCGTCCTTGGTGGGTTTGAAATAGCAAAGTGATATTTGAGAGGGCTCTCCTTGGATGTGCTGAGCTGGGGTTCCTGCCAGGAGGGGAGTGTCCGTGCCTGCCAGAACCCTTTGGGGGGCAGGGGCGGGAGGGGGCGGGAGAGGACAGCAGTGCAGGCAGAATGGGAAGGGAAGGGCC